TATCCTTAAAAGGAATATTTATATAACAATTAGTAGAGTACTGTGTATATTACTGGGTAAAGCTATCATTAAAAGAAATGTTTATATAACAATTAGTAGAGTACGTTGTATGTTACTGGGTAAAGCTATCCTTAAAAGAAATATTTATATAACAATTAGTAGAGTACGTTGTATGTTACTGGGTAAAGCTATCCCTTATAATGAAAGCTTTACCCAGTAATATACACAGTAAATATTTATATAACAATTAGTAGAGTACTGTGTATATTACTGGGTAAAGCTATCATTATAAGAAAGTTATATAAATAAATTAGTAGAGTACTACACAGTACTCTACTAATTGTTATATAAATATTTCTTATATGAAAGCTTTACCCAATGACATACACCGTACTCTACTAACTGTTATATAAACATTTCTTATAATGATAGCTTTACCCATTAATATACACAGTACTCTACTAATTGTGATATAAATATTTCTTATAATGAAAGCTTTACCCAGTAACATACACAGTACTCTACTAATTGTTATATAAACATTTCTTTTAAGGATAGTTTTACCCAGTAATATACACAGTACTCTACTAATTGTTATATAAATATTTCTTATAATGAAAGCTTTACCCAGTAATATACACAGTACTCTACTAACTGTTATATAAACATTTCTTTTAATGATAGCTTTACCCAGTAACATACACAGTACTCTACTAATTGTTATATAAACATTTCTTATAATGAAAGCTTTACCCAGTAATATACACAGTACTCTACTAATTGTTATATAAATATTTCTTATAATGATAGCTTTACCCAGTAATATACACAGTTCTCTACTAATTGTTATATAAATATTTCTTTTAATGATAGCTTTACCCAATGACATACACCTATTACTGGGTAAAGCTTTCATTATAAGAAATATTTATATAACAATTAGTAGAGTACTGTGTATATTACTGGGTAAAACTATCCTTAAAAGAAATGTTTATATAACAATTAGTAGAGTACTGTGTATGTTACTGGGTAAAGCTTTCATTATAAGAAATATTTATATCACAATTAGTAGAGTACTGTGTATATTACTGGGTAAAGCTATCATTAAAAGAAATGTTTATATAACAATTAGTAGAGTACTGTGTATATTACTGGGTAAAGCTATCCTTAAAAGAAATGTTTATATAATAATTAGTAGAGTACTGTGTATGTTACTGGGTAAAGCTTTCATTATAAGAAATATTTATATCACAATTAGTAGAGTACTGTGTATATTACTGGGTAAAGCTGATATTAAAAGAAATATTTATATAACAATTAGTAGAGTACTGTGTATGTTATTGGGTAAAGCTATCATTATAAGAAATATTTATATAACAATTAGTAGAGAGCTGTGTATATTACTGGGTAAAGCTTTCATTATAAGAAATATTTATATAACAATTAGTAGAGTACTGTGTATATTACTGGGTAAAGCTATCATTAAAAGAAATATTTAAATAACAATTAGTAGAGTACGTTGTATGTTATTGGGTAAAACTATCCTTAAAAGAAATATATATATAACAATTAGTAGAGTACTGTGTATGTTATTGGGTAAAACTAATATTATAAGAAATATTTATATAACAATTAGTAGAGTACTGTGTATGTTATTGGGTAAAACTAATATTATAAGAAATATTTATATAACAATTAGTAGAGTACTGTGTATGTTATTGGGTAAAGCTATCATTAAAAG